TATTAATGCTTAAAACTAATTCGTTATGGACTTATCTACTAGATTATTCTCACGTCTGCTTTACTTTTCGAGGGTTGATAAAGTAGATACATCTAGAAAAATACCTGCCTGAATCTATCTTACGTCGTATATAGACGTGTGAAAGTCTTTGAAAAGCTTGCAGATAATTATACAAGAGTAGCCAAGGTGAAAGTAGACATAGCTACTGGTAATAAACTGTAGGTAGTGTACCGTATTCATACGAATATATTTGCATCCTCCATTCTATGAAGATAATGAAAAGATCGATCTTACTGATGTTCTTGTCTCACATGCAGACATCTGTGTAGATCAGTGTGTTTTCTATAAGGCAAGTGAATAACAAAGGTATCCATAAATTAAAATGAAGTATATAGGATTTCGCGTCTTTAATCACTTTGTTTGATTGTTAGGTTGATGCAGTAACATAACAGACTATATTACATAACTTGGTTAATTATGAACAAACTATTGCACATTTAAGTTTTTCAGTAGCACCAGCCCAGTATGTACACATAAGTTTACGATTGTATCATTATAATTATGAATAATTTATTGATTGTAAAATGGCAGCAACTTGCATATTAGACGTAAAAATAGGACTGTAGGGGTATTTATTTACATATTTAATACGGCACTTTATAGCATTATTAATGTCCTCAATTATTTACTAATTTCATGTCATATTAATCCAAAAAAATAATCATGACACTCATAATTAAAATTGAACTAATATGCGTGTATTATTGTAATTTACAGAAAAATAACATTTGTACATTTAGTTAAGGCCTGAAATTTCTGCCTGACAATGACAATAATATAGGATCTCTGTTTCGAATCAATTGATAGAGAACTAGGAGACTTTATATTGAAGTAAACAAATCATGTCAGTTTATAGTTATGACGATTTATGTCTAAAGCCAAACTGGAGCGGTTTACATTTCCATAAAGCTCCTAGTAGAGCTAAATGGCATGCATGTAGTCTAATAGAACTAATGACGGTTGATGGGTAGGTATTCCAGCTCATTTCAATTCCACCTAAAATCAAGAGTCTACAAATCGGAAATCATACAAGAATAACCATAAGCGCAATTGCCTAAAACGACATACATAAGGTGAAAAGCTGCAAGCTTGACCTGATAACTGTTGGATAGTCTGTTAGCCATAACAGATATGGAATAGTGTGGTAGTACCACACATAGAATTGATAATGCAAAGATCGTGAAAAGGTTATGCCAATAAAGTTGGAAATGAAGAGCATGGTAACAATGCGTTGGTTAGGTTAAGGTAAATTGAAAAAAAAAATTGGCACTTGATAATAGCTATGCAACACTAATTTTAGTAACATAAAGTGTGTATACCGGAGTATTGTAATAATTAAGTGGTAATGTCAAATAATCATACAAAGGATATTCTTAGAGTCTGGTTCATATGCCATACTAGCCCTCATTCTTAAGAGTGATTCATAACCTCCGCATTTCCTAACGGCAAAAGCAGAGTTTGATGTATAAGTGCGTTATGTAAATCAATAATGCTTAATGAATGGTGTTACAATTTTTGATAACTTAAAAAAAATACTTTAGCCAGCGTCGGAATATGAACGCAATCAACACCAATAGATGAGCTGCTAGTAACGACAAATGAAACCACCGATTTAAAAAAATATCTTCGCTAAGAAAACGCCAATTAACAGTCCACTTGAAAAAGAATTTGCGTCCAAAATCGAACGAGCGAGTTAGGTAAGCTTTGGGATAATTTAATAGAAAGGGTGCAGCGAGAGCAATCTGAATTAAGTACAGTTGAAATTGTTAAGCAGAACACATATATTTGTATTTATTTACTACAATAAAATGTATTTCTATAAATTTTCTGTTGGTTCGTTCAAGGACTTACTCAAGTTGACGACTATGCATGCATGATGTACGGGTATACGATACATTACTATACTTGGGACTAGATTAGCAAGTAGAAAACTGACCTGAATAATAGCACATATAGCTAATCTTGGAATGGCAGCGATGATACCATATTGCAGTAGCAGCAAGATTAATAACGCAGGAGCAAAAAGGAGTATATTCATCTTGATCGAAACAGCTAAGCTAGAGGCAAATTTAGTAATCATTTGTCAAGGTTAGACTACTTCTAAGTAGCCAACTTTAATAAGTTGTTTGTTTCCGTAAGTAATTCAGTACGAGTAAATGAAGTCCTCATGCATATTGCTGTAATGAACAAGTCCAGGATGTTAATGTACCCTAATATTAACTTTGAGAAACAGTCAAGATTACAGTATACTAACTCAGAAATACCTAAAACAGACACATCCGGACGTCCAATAGCCAAATATAAAACAATTTATAGCTGCGTATAGGAAAAGCATAGCTACAGGGTCATTAAACATTCGAAGGATGTATATAGAATGGATTCGATATGATGTACAACATATGATCACCAGAACATAAGGTGGAACCTGAAAGTTAATAAAAATACACAGCAGGATTGAATTTTTTTGAATTCCATCGCACGACAGCAAGGTTGTAGACATTGTTGTTCACAAAGGTGAAATATGAAGTTATGTATTACTACGCTATTCTACAGTAATAGTCTGACGAAGAAGTGTGGTTATCATTTTATGTAGGTTGATTAGAATTTGTGCGATGTTGTTTACGGTCGAGTATACACGTCCTTATTATTACCATTGCATGATGTTGATGAGCCGTTAATACTTACGATTGCAGTCTTTCGATAAATATTCATTACCAATATTAGATTGATCAGATATAGCACAGCGAATATATACTGAGCTAACAAAATATCTTGGCCGCTACGAGTAACCATATATAGAATTGAGTAGATGTAGACAAATCCTGCAGGATACCTAAAGATAGCACAGCAGTAAAGGATAAGATAGAGTTATTATACGATGGAAGACAGCAATGATTGTCACCGCATGTAAGTACAGAGTACTAGACACGATAAGGGAAATCCTCATAGGTATCTTGTGGAAAAGAAGTGCAAATATATAATCAGCCATGACATCGATAGGTTGATTTGCAGTACAGTACATTACAGTGCCTTTATTGTACGAATGTACAGTACAGTTCAGTTGTGTAGTAGCCCGAGGTAATCAAGGATCTACTATAATCAAGTCAGTAGCATTAGATCTAACCATAGCATTGCTCTACGAGGACTAGTCAATAAAACACGGTATTTTCTATTTTCTTAATAATTGCAGTATCATTTGTTTATTTCCAATATTATTGCTGTATTAGATAGATCGAGTCGATGATGTTATTTACTACGCATACAGTATACTCACACAAGAGGTCCCGTTGCTCCTTTCAATTGACTATAATCATAGGTTCCATTCAGAAAGCCTTCAACTTCGCTCATATATGCTTCCCAATCAATCTCAGTATCTAATGCATCCATTAAATTACAATCACATTCAATAATGAGTAAAATGAAGTCATGTTCCATTCTTATTGACAATTAGTCAGTACAGTATTTAATATACGACGCCATTACATGATACTTTAAAGATAACGATGATGTTGAGCAAGATTTCAAAAAGGAGCAACGGTAAACATATCTTGCCAATCGATCTTGGGTTGAACAACAAGTCAAGCAGCAAATGCTTGAAATAATTGACAGTCCAGATTGATTCTGTTGGTTGCTTGACATGACTTTTAATGAATGGAGGCATGATGGATAATTTTGGACACTTTAATGGAACACCAGTTGAGCAGTTTGTGCAAGCGTTGCTGCCACACTGCCACAGTACAGAACAGTACAGTACTGAGCACTGTACTGTCCTGGACGAAACTAAAACTACTGGATTTGACTGCAGTCCTTACAGTACATAGAGTACAGTACAAAAGCTTTTGTACTGTAGACACTTAAGATATGATATCTGAGTCAGTCTGACATCGGACGGCCTCCAAGACAGCACCAGACAAATGTAACCTATCCAGTACAGTAGTCCATCAGTCCATGTACCTACTACAGTAAGTAATATGGATGCCACGTTAACGTAGACATTGATTGTTCCTTGTCTACGTTAACGTGGCATCCATAGTACTTAGTAGGTACTCCAAGATACTGCAATGGACTTTTTTGCCAGCCCAAGCACTGATATCTTTGCTTCTTTTGATTAGTCGTCCCTGCTGATACATTGAGTTCCAACAAGACGACTATAGTCGCTACCCTACTAATAATATTATACTTAGCTGTACAGTATATTCATCAGTCAATACTGACATACAATACTATTGTGCCAGGAGCTACTGCAAAAAAAAATAATAATCATAATGAAATTCCCCTATGGTAATCTCTAATATCAAAGGATAAACGTTATTCTCTGCTTTAGCGCTACCCGAATGAGTACATATAATCATTTTAATTCTATCGAATCGATCACAAATGTCTCGACGACGGCAAAAGCCTCCTATCAAATCCAATCATATCCTATGGCTAAACTAAGCCAAGAAGAAATCACGTGATCTTGGTCGTTACCATAGAAATCATGAAGCGCTTGTTTCATTAGAACAACAGTAAATCTGATACATTAGGCCATAAGGGTAGAGGCAGTAGACAAGCGTTGATTAGAGTATGCTGCATTAATTGAGCGTATAGGCCTAGTATTAAGTTAACTAAAAGTAGAACTATAATCCTTGGATTCACCTGGTTTTATTATCGCAGACGTTGGCAACCAGATTATTTTAATTATTTCATATACAGTAATTGCACCTTTGTTAGCTAGGAGTAGAATATTGAAGGCAAGTAATTTGCAAGTATTCTTTGTACAGACGAGCAATTACTTCTTGCCAACTTTAACCAGTACGGAAACGGAAGACAGCAGTTTATTCTTATTTTTTTAGTTTAGTTGACATTAGGATTAGCTACAGTAATCAGCATTAAAAAACTAACTATTGCTATGGCGGCTTCTGGTCAACCTAGTTGGAAAGTTGAATCTAGATTTAAAAATGGCGTGCTCATTGGTAACTGGTATGAAGAACGAATGCAGGTACTGTATAGGGCTATAGTGTAAGATAATTAAATTCGAGAAATAAAATTATCGTCATAATTTTTTTTGTAACACAATATCATCTATCCATCATACTGCCTTTGAAGACCTATTCAAGTTAACAACGTAATGTATCGATATTACCCAAAAACTTATAAGGCATATCCTAATAGTGTGGATTGGATCCCTAAAGTATGGACTAATGTTGATTGTAAAAATTTTGTATAGTATAATTTAATCGAAAACGATATGTAATATAATTACGGTTAATTTTCACATCGATCATCTTAATTATCCACGAATTATCGTATTGTTGCTACTGTAGCAATTATTTTAAATAAAACAGTCTGACAAGGAAAGACTATCATTTGTGTTCATTAGACATCCTTCTTAACGTGCCAAATCATTTAAGCGCAAGATTTATTTATAATGCAATGACAGTTTACTGGCTTTGCGATTAAGCAAACTAAGTAGCCTGATGTCAAAATTTTTTGTTACATTTTTACGTATATCCTAAAACGTTTACATTGTTATACTTTTAAAATAGCACACTGATTACTAATGACTATATTGGCATTGTTTCGTTTCCGCTCGTAGTATCAACGAGAGAATTTCAATCATAGTAGTACACAAAGACATGACTATAAACCTTACGGTAATGCCAAGCCTGATACATTTATTCGACGAGCCGCTCTGGCAAGGAATAATGTAAGTTTTCGGTACTATAATGCTACTATGACATAATATCTTATTGTTTTCTGGATATTGACAGATATCGCTATTAAAATAAATGATTTATATATACTGTACATACTTTCAATTTTTAATGCTGTAGGGCCTTAATAAACAACAAATTTTCTTTCATCATGGCAAGAAATACAACGATAACATGATCTCTTACTATGATCAAGTTTATAATAAACGAGACCTAGAACATATACCTACGAATAGAAGATGGGACCTTAAAAGAATTGCATGGCTACCGGAAAAATCAGATGTCCCTATTTACGGTAGATATTTACTTTTTCCATATCTTATTACTTTCCTCTTAACAAAGCATGACTTGTCACCTTCATGATTTGTGAAATAATTTCCTCTATTGACTTTATTAAAATGCATCGCAATTTATCCGTAGGTAATGCAACCAAATTTGGCCTTTTAGAAAAAAAGAAGGAGCAATGGAAAAAGGAAGTAGAAGAGGAAAATAGGGGTATTTACTCGAGTGAAACAATGACATCATTTGCTGAATTGCCTAAGAATTCACTTATAACAAAACATCAAGTTACCCCTAAACATATTTCAAGTCGTATGCATCCTCATCATTTGAATAAAGATTTAGCACTTCGCAGCTTACCAATCATCAACCCCGTCCCTCAAATTGTGAGTTGGCCCCATCCAAAATTCTCAAATACTTTGAATTAATGTCATTGTATTAGGATTCTTACAAATTTACTCTTTATCGCCAATTTGGTAAGGTTTATCATGAATAATCATGAAATTATTCTTTACAGCTTAATTATCTATAGCCAAGTTGTATGCGTATATAATAAAAGCCAAGCCATCAATAGACTAATCGTTAAAGGATAAGAAAAACACAGTATGTAAAATTCCTGTAACATACTATCATGGTTGAACTTTTAAAATATACCGACACGTATAGTAAGATTGTTTTGTTTTTAAACTTGGCAATCACCGTGCAACCAAATGATGGATACAGAAAAATTGTTAATTACTTCATACCAAGTTTAAATGTTATTTCTAGGACTTTCTGACGTCTCATTTGTAAAATTGTGGCGATAACGTACTCAACAAACAAACTATTCCTTCATTGAATTAATCAGGAACGACATGCATGTATTGTTTATTTCGCAATTTATGCATTTATTTTTGTATCTAAAAGTAATACAACTTCTTTGGTGTTCGTAACTTTAACTTATACACTGTAAATTTTGATGTAGTAGGTAGTACAAATAAAGTATCGCATCAATTTTCACTAAGTAGAATTACATAATGTTGAAATTGGACTATGTCATAGAGTAAGATGCTTCTTGCATAGCACTAAGTAGATGATTAATCTATACGACATCAATAAACGAATAAATAATATTATAACGAGATTTATTTTTTACATCAATGGTTTTCTATAACAAATTCTGTAATATCTTACTTAGCATTTCATTTAGCAATTTTAGGTCAATAACAGAATAACGACGGTTGTGGTGGTATCTTATTGCGCTTAGAATAGGATTCAGCAATAACTCTATTATAGGCCCACATGATAAGAGTTATACCTCTAGAGTTTATAAAATTTAGTCTCCGCCTTTTCTAACTGAACCCATCTTATATAACATAATACAAACAGAAAAGAACTTAAATACTGATAAAAAACAGTTTGTTTAGGAAATTATTACCGTCAGCGTAGACTAGTATCCACTATTTCTTTCATTGCTGAAAACAGAATTTATAATCAAGAAAAGGTTATGACATTACATAAAAATTCTCCCATATTGTGCTAGGTAATGGTGACATTATGAATCATAAAATAAAGCAAATTTTTTTAACTCTCTTCATGCAGTACAAAAGAATTCAATTTTACTTAATAAACAGCTCTACGCATATAAAATCGTTATAGCCGTTATAAATCGAATTTATAGACAGAGTGTGTTCCATAGTCTATGCATTGATAGAGCTAAATATAAATTTCCAACACCTATTTTGCCAGATGTAAAGTCCTTTATCTAGATATAGCATTGAGGCGCTTTTAATTACAATTATACCTTCTAGAGGGTTATTGATTTAAAATACTAATAATAACTTATAATGCGCATTTAGATAAAGACAGCGTGACTAAACTAAAAATAGTTTCAAAAAATATATAATAAACAAATTAATCAATTTGCGTTTTCCATTCAATCTTTTGCCTATGTTGGTCTACCATTTCGTTTACACGAGCATCAATAACATCTTCTGTTAATACTCCATCATCAGTTACAAACGCGCTTGTCTATAAAAATTGATGTGTACATACAGTTAAGAACTTTAGCACTGTAAGGTTGACTAAATTGTTATCGACTTTTTACAAACCTGCCATGCAACACCGAGCTTTGATATTTCACGTCCAGATAGCCCCTCAGTTTTTTTCGCTATTTCCTTCACTTTACTATTAAAGTCCATCGATTCAACTTTTAAGCGGCTATAATAAGTTTAAATAAGATTAGGCATTAATATCTTTACAAATATTTGATATGTTATCTTAATTTATCAGAAACCTTGTTCCTCTTTTCTCCGCTGCTTGCAGTACATATTTATCAAAGTAATATCGTATTAGCCTTTCTCTTTCCACTTGATCCGGTAAATGAAACTTGACCATTTCGTCAATTCGATCATTTATGGCAAAATCGAACAAATCTGGTTGATTGCTACTAAGAACCAACATAAATCTGGAAAAAAGGATAAAAGCAATTAGACAATTACTTAGACGATTATACGGCCTTGAGATCAAAGCTATTCCTACTTCTTTGATGGATCTCCTGTACGATAAAGGAAGGCATTTAATGTGCTTCGAAGATTTTCGCTCATAGTTTCAGTGTTACGTTTTCGAAGAAAAGCATCAGCTTCGTCAATGAACAACATTAATCTAACAAAGATTGGTTACATTAGCATTCAGTAAATTTTCCAAAGTTGCAGAAAATAAAATATCCTATATTTTTAAAGTATATTTGTAGCAATAAACGCTAGAATCATATTTACCCACGTCTACTGGTTTTAGCCCAATCGAACACTTTATGAATAGCACTGACGCCTTCATTTTCCAAAGGTAAAACATCTCCACCAGTCATAATTGCATAATCCATCCCAGAATGTTTAGCAAGACTCTGCCAGCGCAAAGTTTCGCTAGTTAGATAAGTAATTAAAATAATAAATTCCAGTAACGTTATCTATGCTAGCGTCATTGTACCTTTGCAAATAAAGTCTTTCCAGTTCCAGGAGGTCCATACATTAATAAATTCCGGTATACTCCACCATTTTTTCTGGTATTTCGGGTTGCAATTGCTACATCTCTTAAACGTTTTTCTAGAGTAGACTAGATATATAAACGTTTTATAGCATTAAAAACTATCCATTAAAAAAGGTCAATAGATACACCAGCTAAATCTTACCTTTAAGATAATACCTTCTAGCGCGTCTTCCGGCTTGGTAAATCTTCGGCGGTAATACTATCAGTGTCCAAATCAGATAGTGTTAAAAATAAGTTTTCTATATATGCTTTAGTTAATTCATTAAATATCATAGAAAATCGATTGCAAGCACCTGTATTGGGTGTCGAAGCATCCCACCAAATAGAGTCATACGAGAAGTTTCTCTGACGAGAGAAGGCTTGCCAAGTCTAGCTTCAATAAATCTAAGATTGGAAAATTAATAAGATGTTATACTTTTATCATCTATTTTGGAAATGATGGAGCACATCTCATATGAGAATGAGCATACCTTGAAATTACACCAGTACCATGCTTAGCGCTGTAAATACCTAAGGCCAATAAAGTAAGTCCCCCAATCTAACAAGAAAGCATCCTAATTTAGTATATTACCGAGTAATTTAAAAATGATTATAGTCTAAACGGAAAATACTGTGTACGATCTACGGTACATGCTGTAAGATATGCTGGTATGTCAATTGCATAAGAATGGATATATTATCCTACCAGTTACGACAAGTAAAAACTTAATAAACAGTATTACCAAACGCAAATTAATATTACATACAGTGGCGGTTATCTTATTCCAGTCCGATATGAAAGCAGAAGCACCTTCTCCAAGAACTGTTGATGCAGTTCTACAGGTAAAAGCATTTATCATTAAAGTCTGGCTACTGTAACAGGTTATCATTTGTAAGGGATGTTTATTTAAATTCGTGTTACCTTATTGATTGCAATATTGTATCACGTTGTTCTTTGGCTTTTACTCTTATTTTTTCTAACGTTAAATCTTGATTTTCCCTATCGGTTTTAGCTCTATGTGATATCATCACGCGAACAAAATAGGCGCAAGTTACTTCTGAGGCTGATTTAGCCATTGATAACTAATTAATAAATAATTCTCATATGATACAACGCTTACTTCTCGCGTACTTCAGCCCGCATTCGTTGCATGTCGTATTCATGCCGTACTTTAGCTTCGTGCTCAATGGTAGCTAAGGAAATGAATTAATCTTGAATGAGTAACAGAATTTTGTAGAAAGGTGAGGTAATATAATAATAACCTTTTCTCATGGCTTCTTGTTTTTGAACAGACTCCTCTTGTTTTCTTAAATTTTCTTCAGTTACACGTTTCTACGAAAATATTTTATAAGCTAGTTCTTACTACTAGAGCAGTATTACGTGAGAAATGCATTGATGTTGGGCATCAATGGAAATAGCAGTTTAACACTTTTGCAAGCCTATTGAAATACTCGTATCTACCTGTTGTTGTAGTTGGTCTTCATATCTTTTCCGAGCTAATTGATCGTTGTATTGTGCCCTCTATATCAAGAAATATTACAGTATGATACATCTATAGAGCATGCATAAATGTTTCCTACAATTTATAGAGAGTAGTAAAGTGATATCCCTGAAAACAATTTTACATCTATCTAATATTAACCTGCTGATGATGTTGTGTTTCAGTTTGTAAAGTTTTCCTCTTTTCTTCTTGTTCAATACGTACTCTTTCCGATTGTAATTGATGAATTGCAGCTTCTTGTTCCTGCACCATGATGATTATGATATCAGTACAAGGTAATACTCATGTCGTTTTATAACTACATCGTTGTTTACCTCCTAAATCATATATAATTCAAACAATGGAACTTTAAAGATTCAATGAGGAGTTAACTGACCTTAATGTGTCTTTGCTGTTCTAACTGCCTTGTTTGCTCTTGCATTTGACTCAATTCTAAAGCATTCTTGGCATGCGCTATTAAAGAAGCATCACATTATATCATTACGAGTTTATGTACCTAGTATAATTGAACTTGGTAAAACGCTATCGATTACAGTACTACTCGATATTTTCAAGCTATTATGCAAAAGAAAGCTGACATACAGTAATAAAATTAGAGAAACATGTGATGAATGACCTACTTGAATGAAAATTCCAACTCGATATTACAGACGACTAATAAGTACTATAACAGTCTATCTATCTCTTGGCAATCTAGTAGCCATAATGAATAGTAATAATTCTTACGTGATGCATTCAATTCTCTAGCAGCTTTAGCAGCACGTTCTAAACCAGTAGGATCGAATCCACTCCATTTTTTGTCACCCGAGCCATCTTTGTCACCTCCTCCAGAAGCGTCTCCACCACCAGAAGGCACCGGAACAACTGGTACACCGCCTGGTTGATTAGGCCCACGATTGCTTCCAAATATCCAAGACATGTCGTTGGCTTAATTTTTAAAATTTCTAATGGTAATGCTTACAGAATAAAGATTAAAGCTAAAAATTGGCTGCTATCTTCTGCAGACAGGTTGCAAATCGTCATGGAACCTAGGTAGAGGAATGAATTGGATTGGTTTGGTACGTCACGCTTGAGGAGTATTTCTGCCAACCCCTCTAGTGCAATGTCCGTAACAACAGTGCAGTAGCCATACGGCAACCACTCTCAGTAAAACGCAGCTGCCCTGGGCGCACAGTCCTGCCATTTTTAAACTCACGTGCGTTATCAATACGCATGCGCCACGCTCCCTTCTGCGTCATTACCTCGATACGGTATGTCGTTCCAGTCCAGTCCAGTCCGGCCCGGTCCAGCCCGGCCCAGTACAGTACTGGACTGAAAGCTGATATAATACCGCACTACAGTACGATACTGTACAGTGTACAGTGTACAGCACCGCAACTACAGTACATTGTACCCCTATTCTGTACTGTACTGAAGCCAAAAAAATCAAGCGAAATCCCTATCCAGCTGCCGGCAAGAAAGGACATTTGCTACGTCCATTTCTAAAAATGGATATCTTCTCCACACTACTAGTGCTACACTACTGTAGATTGATTAATTAATAATGGTCTTACTTTAAAACTGGAGTAGTACAACAGAAGCTCAGGAGAGAAATAGGATCGCGGCTGCTTCATTCATTGTACAGTACTGTACAATGCATTATGTAACAGTCAAGGCTGATGCAATACGCGATCACAATCAAAGACCCGATGATGAGGCAAAAACCGATCAAGCTGCCTGGAAGGCATGCACTGTCGAGTTGGCATATTATCACATTTTAGCCACCACCATTTCTGAAAATCTACTCTATGATAGACTGGTAATACCTAGTATTGCGTGATTGACCTCCTGTCGCCGGAGAGAACATAACCTCATGCACAACAGTAATCTATTAACGACGGTGACCGTATTCGTAGCAGCGCAGTAGAAGATTCTAGACCGAAATACAATAGTTCCTGCTGTTAAAAGCTAAATCATACGTTTGCTGATGCAATACTTGATCATAAATATTGATCTACAGACTCCTCTGGATCCCTGTCGGATCTTAGTAATATAGCCAGTAAAATATCAGATACACCGATCCTGCTTACTGTTTTAGTAATACAAGCTCAAGCTCGTCTCAATAGGGAGATCTACAGTACTGTACAGTATGCTTGGACCGCTGGCGCAGCACGAAATAGTATCAAAAATCACTGAGCGAGCAAGGTAAAATATCAAATATAACCGATGGATTCATAAATTACTTCAATTTTTACCGTGGTAAAAATTAGAGCAGCCCATAGAAGATTGCACTCATAGAGGATTAAAAATATGGACAATCACCAATTACTGTATAGGGAAGGAATAACTGCTTACACCGATGCTTCAGTTAATTTGTAAACGAGGAAACTAATTTTTCTAGCATTCTACTCGTTTACCGACATCCATATCGATAGTAGAACCTCGAAGGCAAGGACTTGTAGATTCCCTTATTTCTAATTATGATGATTGGACTAGTAGTGTGACTTAAATACCGAATTGACTGTAAGGCGATCGCAATCAGTCGTCCAGCATAACCCGCTATTGTACGCATAGACACCTTGGAACGCTAAGTGAGCACAGTGAATTACGAAATAATATGGCGGTCGTACTTAGAAGTGTAGTAGTAGAAAATTCAATACAGAAATAGATGCTTTATGGACACTTTGATGCGTATGAGAAGAGCGAATAAATTTGAGGCAGAATCACCAAGATTGATACAGTTAGCCTTCAAGGCATGAACCATAATTTCCTCTACCCCGCTGAATCGCCGACAGAGCTCGATGAAATGGCGCATAGGCCAATCCACGGACTACTAAAACTAATAAAATGTTCCGGGTTACTTAGTACTCCAGATTGAATGCAGAATTGACTACTTTATAACTACTTGAATTTGTATAAGGGCGCCCGAATAATTTGGTCAACATTCCATTATAGAAATTTCATATTCAATAAGGTTACTAAGCCAGAATAGTCTTTTGACATCTTAGACATGGGCTAATAAATTTTGCAACAGTACTGTGCCGTAACTAAGGCTCGAGGCAATATTCGGACTTGTACACTGTACAACGTGGGCTAAAATAATACCGGCTAAAGACATAGGGCCCTTGTGTATAATTCGAATAATCTTGTTCCGTTATTGCTAATAGGCATAATAAAAATCAAATCGATCAATGCTTTAGTCGTTTGAAAATTATCAAGTGCAAACTAGTACGTGAATTGCTACGATCCTGACAATGATCTAGAGTAACTGTTTACAATTTAAATCCGCGACCTAACTTATGGATGTGAATTGTATTAATTAACAATTGAAGGAATTCATTGTTAAAAATGGCTACAGAGCCAATTATAGTTATTATAGAACGATATCAATCATAAACTAATAATACTACTCTTATAGACGTGTAGTCATGGGGGAAAATGTTAACGACTTTATTCAATTGGGTTTGCTATTGGTAACGAGGTTAAGCAGTTTGTAAATCCGCAATTTTACCGCGTAAGTGTACCAAGTAGCTATGCCGCCTAACTGAAATAAGTGTAACATTTAATCTTACTTTCGATTGATCCAAACTGCAGTTGAAATGTTATAATATCGCTGTAGCGAATGCAAATGAAATAACTGCTTTTGAAATTTCTATATCACACAGTAAATTGAATAGATTACTGTCGTGATTCTGAGTGATCCATGTGATATTGCTACTTGGTTCCCGTATGTGGATTAAGTGTACGGAAACTAAAATAGAGAACCTGTCTAATGCAAAAATATCTTTAGTCGAGCATAACAAATTAGATGGATTGTATTTTCCTTCGTTGTAAAATTTCCATTAACGTCTAACTTGATGTTGCCAGTTCTTATTATTCGCGGAGAAATGAGTTTAGTCATATTTGAGTATCTACCGTAGTAAGGATACAGCAAATGCTGCAGTATCGAATACTTTTCATATAGATATTTGTTATATCTTGCAGTAGAATATTGAATCTCCGCGCTTTACATCTAGAAAATTTCAATGGTCTCACATTGAATGTTTGATGCTCATTGAAGTAGTAAAGATATAATGAGAGCAATGGCATTCTCATAATCGATAATGCGCTTCTCCGTAAATTAGGAAGGACAATGGTAGCCAATTTTATGATCCCTAACTAGTCATTTAAATTATATTAATATAAGGGTCATTATCATGTCAAGGTCACAATAAAAATTGTTCCGTTATTTGAATGATTTCACACTAAAATAGTATATCTTACAATACTTTTTAAAATTCTATCATACAAAGTGGTGGAGAAAAATTGTTTTTACGCCTAGATAAGATGAATGCTAAATCAGTATTTAGAACGGTCGATAAAGGTTAATATAGTGCAAGGGCATATAACGACTTGATCACATGCCATTAATTGAAGCAAGGAAAATTCATTTAATGGACTGAAAAACTTCAGTTGTAGCTATAATGTAAATTTCTACTGAGGGAAAAGGAGTCATTAAAATCTGGATTGCTATTGAAAAAAGTTGATCATAAAATAGTACGCATTGAATTGAAAGTGGCGAAAGGTCAGCTACAATGCTAACCTTTTTTTAAAATGAATAACTTAATTTAACAGGTGCTACACTGATTTTCTACCAAGAATGACTTGTCATGTGCACTGTGCGTCGGCTGCAATCATTAATCAATGAAGAAGAAACTTCCTACATTTTTTTTACCACGCTTCCGTCTGACTGATAATCAACATTCTACGCCGGTAAAGTAACTTCAAGGACGTAAACATCTGTCATAAATTGTAATGGTATTCTTAATGTAAAGGAATTTTGTTATTAATAATGGCCAGTATTGTTAAGACTGCCTTATTTATTAATACTAAGGTACATCGTATTATAAATTAGATTAATTTAATGAAGAAATACATTTATGATTGTGATGATAATTATTGCGCCTTAAAGCAATCAAAATGTATCGCTCAATCTGTGCACATGGTAAGGCTTAGTTTAAATTAAATCCCTTTCAATGTTGATATTGATTTCTGACTTAATCGATTGACTCAGGCAAGAATCTACTATCTACATACATAGCTAATGCGGCGAAATGGATTTGAAAAGAATGTCATATCTAATGTCATCTACCAGCGAAATGAAAGTTACATCGATTTCGATCACGTAAAAATCATAATAGCTGACTGTCGAAAGAGAAGATGACACATAGTTGAGATTTCTCTTAGCCCTTATGTTGTAATAACAGACCTATTTACAATATCGCCTGCAATTGGAGGGAAATTAAACCATTTCTAGGAATTAACTGTATGAGATGACTTTAATGTATAGTAGGCTGATAAAGTAAAATTCTATTGGGAATAATCCTAGTGATTCCCGAGGCTGTTAATAGATCGCATTTAAATATATTTTTCCAGTCATAGAAAGAAGTCAAGTTTGTCTAGGCAATATCGCTTTTATTGTCATCTGTTCTATGAGACTAATGACGTTAGTAATTAGACCAGCTGTCGCTCAAAACAATACATTTAGTATGATGGAGTAGAATGGAAGAGAATAATTTTACTTCTAGACGAATATGCTAATGGAATCTCTCCCATACTATGTCGAATAAAATCAGTGATTCATGCGCCTATGACTATAGTACAATAACTATCTGGAAAATCACTATTTATCATGCCAGGTCGTGTTATCCTTTTTCATAGATGGGATAATTGGCTTAAGTATGATACAGCCCTAATGTCAAGTGATAAACCAATATCAATTGCATTTCATATACTGTATTTACTAATTAGGCACGGCCATATTTTCTCCATATTCATTTAAAAGTATCAAGGTTACCTTGACTGAACACTGATTTTATCTTATCCTCTGCTCGTCAATATTCTCTAATCATAATTCTAATATCCGCAACTGTACTTGAACACCTTGTTAACAAATTACTA